TTGTTGCTTGGAGCAAAGGTATGTTTCTCCTTGTTCCTCTGGCTGCTAAAGGAATGACTCTTCAGACTATGTAATTTATGAACAGAGTATGCTTAATGCTTTATATTGATTTAGAGGTGGAAATTCTGGAACTTCAGTGTTATTTTCCTAATAACACAGCTAAAAAGCTTCCATCTTCCACAGGCAGAAGGTGGGTGGGTGACAGATGAAGTTTTCTCTGTTAGAGTGCTGATGTGGTGGTACTGAACTGGTGCAAACTGTCCCTGGCACCTTGGGCAGCTGGATTTGTATTTTTAATGCTAGTGTATAAATTGTGACACTGGAGAGCAGAACAAGGTAACAACATTCTGACAGTGTTCCCTACTGATTACCTGTTTTATAATGGAAATCCAGATGAAATCTATGGGGCTTACAATGGTGATTTTAATAGAAATTGTTGCATTTAAGAGATGTACCATGGCGACCAGGCTTTTCCCATAACCTGAGATTGCTGTTGTGGCAAAATAAGGGGTAAAGGTCTCTGCAAGAGAGTGCAAGTTAGAGTGTTTTGTTGGTTGTGATGTTGTGATGCCCTGTGTGTGAGTGAAAAAGAAAGGCAGCATTGTGGAGACTTGTGTTTCATCCCGAAGTGTTTGTGTACATGGGTATTACTCATAATTCACAGTAATTTTAACTTTCAGATGCAGAGATCTGTGCCTTGGGTATGGGAATGTCATATATCCCTTCTTTTCAGGAGTATTCAACAGCGATAGACATGTGGTCAGTGGGGTGTATATTTGGAGAGCTCTTAACGCAGAAACCCCTGTTTCCAGGGAAGTCAGAGATCGACCAGATTAACAAAGTTTTTAAGGTAAGGTTTTTAACACCAGTGGGTTCTGACTGACTAGGTTAGAGACAGGTACATGAGAACAGTAAGATATAAAAAGTGCTTATTGCTCTTTTTAGATTCAACCTTAAAGAATGACTCTTTACTCTGATTCTTGTTTTACAATATACAGTCAGACCATGGTTTTTGGTTTGCTTTGTTTTCTCTGAATATGTAACCAGCTCCTATAACTACCTAATGAGTAAATAGAAGAGTTTCCCTCTAGAATGAGTTTAATAAAGAGGTGTCTTAATTGGCAGGACCTGGGTACTCCAAGTGAAAAAATCTGGCCTGGTTACAATGAGCTGCCAGCAGTCAAGAAGATGACGTTCACCGAGTATCCCTACAACAACCTGCGCAAGAGATTTGGAGCCCTCCTCTCTGATCAGGGGTTTGATCTGATGAACAAGTAAGTAAGTGCTTCATTGCATCACTGGGAATTGTACCCATATGCTGTGACAGTGATAGAAAATGATTCATAGTGAAACATGGTATTTCAGTGCATCTGACCTTGTCAAAACATGCTGATGTTGCTGAAGTCTGTCTGAGACATCCCTTGCAATGCTATTCCTCACTCTCTCTCTCACAGCAGCTTTATTCAGTGTACCATAACCTGCTGTTAAATCTCAGTCCAAGATTATTCTTGCACATCTATATCCTAGAAGAACAGAAAAATGTTTTAGTAGTAGTTTTAGTTCATTCACGTCATGTTTAATTACATGGTGGGTCTTCTCTTATGGATCTTGTTAAAAACAATTCAGTTGTTTAAACAATTGTTCCACTTTCCAATTACAATTGGAAAAAGAGGAAAAAAACCCAGTACATTCAGAAATTTAACAGAATTTCCTAATTCTATTAAAGAATTAGGAAATAGCAATTTTGGGTTTGTTTCCTACATTTTCACAAGTTCTTGAGTTCCATCATATCTGATACTCTGGCAGTTCTTTCTAACTCTGCTGGTGCATTCTGAGTACATTTCAGTTTTTCTTTACAAGGTTGACAGTGGCTTGAGAGATTTTTATTCTCCCCTAATACTCCCTTTAAATTTCAAGACATGAAGTAAATGATTGTTTCAGATCTTAGAACTTTACTAAAAAAATAGAGATGTTTCACTCTTCCCCATTTTTAAGACTGAGGTTTTAAGGTTTTTGACTGAGTTGTGAATAATTTATTGGCAGTTAGATTTCCTTTCAGAAGGTCCAGGTCTTCTTAACAAAGACAGACATAGCCCTGTCATAACCAAAGCAATTAAAAAGTAGATGACACTGATGTGATGTCTATCTGTCTTCATTAGTTTGGGTAAGAAAATAGTGTTGAATGTGGGTCTGGAACTTGCAGAAAGATGTAAGTGTAAAATACATTGCTGTGTGGAATGAATAGCAGAGTAAAACATGTTTCTGTATTGCAGGTGGTTTAAAATACTCAACCCCAGGGTGTCCAGTTACGTTAAACTGTGTTTCAATATTCTTTTATGACTGTCTTCCTAATTTCTTCTCAGCTTTTTGACCTACTACCCAGCACGAAGAATTACTGCTGAGGATGGGCTAAAGCATGAGTATTTCCGGGAGACTCCACTTCCCATTGACCCCTCCATGTTTCCCACCTGGCCAGCAAAAAGTGAACAGCAAAGGGTGAAACGTGGCACCAGCCCTCGACCACCTGAGGGAGGCCTTGGATACAGTCAGTTGGTGAGTACAGCAGCTAACATCAACATCACAGAAAGGTTTGGGTTGGAAGGAGCATTAAAGATCATCAACCCTCTGCATGTGGACTTGTGATGTCCTTAGACATGTCCAAATGCTGCTTTAGGAACAGTTCACATGAGCTGCACTGGGCTGTGTGATGCCACTGAATCAAACATTTATTTCTCATCTCCTAAAGATACTTTGATGGGGTTTTTTATTGTCATTGTTTAGATTTTGGGGTTGAAAAAGTAACAGACGTTTAGTGATAAATGAATTGTGCTTGGTGTTCACAGGGTGATGACGATCTGAAAGACACAGGTTTTCATCTGACCACCACCACTCAAGGAGCATCTGCTGCAGGACCTGGCTTCAGCCTCAAGTTTTAAACTCGATGTGAAAAGAGGATTAAAAAAACAAAGAAAAGAACCATTCACGTGAGTGGATTTCTGAGGGCCCCAGTTCAGTTCTTCACATCAGGGAGACTAGATGTTTTTCACAGGGGAAAAGTCTATCATCACAGATGCAAAGGCTCTTGCTGGGTGTGGAGTATGACTGCTGCATTCCATTAGAGGACTGGAATTAACCTGAAAAGCCAAGGATCATTACAAAATTTGACAAAGCAAAACTTGAAGTTCAATCCTGGAACAGTCTCTGGTTTATTTTTAAGTTTTGTTGGGTTTATTTTGTTGGGTTTTTGTTTTTGTTTTTTTTCCTTGTAAATTTGTAGAATTAAAATACATTTTTAATTGTTTAACGGTGGGAAAGATTTCATTTCTTCACATGCACCAAACTTGGATGGTGGTGGCATTAAGTCTTCTAGAACTATTGCAGCATATTGTCAGCCTGGACAAACAACCCTTTTGTACTGTGTTTGGTGTTAGTAAATTGGAGGTGTTTGAATATAGTTCAGGACAAAAACTCCATTCCAGTCCTGAGGTTTCTTTCCTGTTAGGCTTTTGATACTCCTCCCTGGCAGTATTTTTGGGTGCTCTGCTGAGCTGACTGTGGTTTGTTGTGCTGTATACATGTATTTACAGTGGCGCTGGTGCAAAAGGAGTACTCTATTGTTTTGTAAATCAAAAAGATTTAATATGGAGACTTTGAAACTTTATTTTCTATAGGAAGTTCTTTTAAATACACCCCTTTTTCATAAAAAGAAGAGCTCAGCTTTACCAGTCCTTTCTCCTGAGGAATCGCATTGGAGTATCACATCCTTTTGAGTATCTGATTTACAATGCTGCTGTTCTTTTCTGGGAACAGGAAGATCTGGAAAATACTGAGGTATTTGTGCAATCAGAGCTAGGCACCAGTCCAATAAAAGGATTAACTTAAAATGTACTGAAACTGATAGAATGTTTATAATTTAAGAGGTTTTTCCTGGGTAAAGGCCTTGGAACTGGAATTTGGATGTACTAAAACTGTGGTAAATTTTGGAACTAGTTGGGTTTGTTTGGTTTGGGGTTTTTCCGTGGAGGAATGCAGAACTGTTGTCTCTTTAGACCCAACTGCTTGTCTGGTGCTGAAGGAAAACCAGTTTATTACTGGTCTGTTAACTGAAATGCGCATGATTTCAGCAAGATTTCCTCCTAGGTGGAGATCAGTAACACCTACTACGAAGCAGGGTGTTACTGCAACATCTCCCAGAGTACAGGAAAAGAGAACCCGTGGGCTGTGCTAAGAGCATGTGTATTTTGTGTTTCAGGCTGTGCATCTTTCTTGCACTCTGTGAAGTTATTTATTTCTTTCCTAGCTTCCTTGGCATTGCTGTGGTCAGGGAAAAGGCTGAACTTAAGGAAAGAGCAATGCAGGTGCTTTAATCCTGCTAAATGTCATGACTGTCAGGGATTCCTTACTGTGAGGGAATGCTCCACCACTCCACTGTGGACACTGGAGTGCACTGGGTGTTGCCAGCCAATACTAACACAGTTTTCCTGTTGGATGTGGCACATTTAGTTCATGGTTTGGTGACTGGGGGAGGATAGTGATGGAAATTACTTATGGAAATTACCTCATCTCTGTTGCACCTGAAGGATATGTTAGAGCTTTCAACAGAGGTAAACAGCCTCAGGGATGAGATTACATGAGTAATAAATACAAACCACAGGAAAGTGGGTGGAGGGACAAAAGGTGTTCTGTGGATACTGGAACTAAGTATGTCAATATGTGGAATGGCATCATTAGAAAGGGTTTGGGGACAAATAAAAGAAAAGGTAATACTGGATCTTATACTTTTTCTCAAGTTCTGCTATTGCTATGTACCAGGATCTAAAAAACAAAGGTCAGCAAAACACTTACAGAGTATAACTGATTGTTTTCCTTCCACAATACCTCTGCCTCCATTGCAGCAGCTGGGCCAGCAATCCATCCATCTGTTCCTTTGATGAAGTGACATTCCTATTTTCCAGCAGTCTGTGGAGTTCCACACTTTAACTGCAAAATCTGACACTTCATAAAAAACAACTCTTTTAATTCTCTGTACAGCACATACTTGATAAATTCTTTATCATTAAAAGTAATTTGGAAAAGTTTTACATTCCAGTAATCGAGTCTCTTTTGCCCAAGGTATGGAAGCAGCTGATGTAGAATTTCAATTGCACAACTGGAGATTAAATATAAAATGCCAAAGAAATGTTCTGAATTTGAAACAGAACAAGCAGAATTGAAGCTCTCAGTCCTCTGTTAATGCTTCAGTCTGATCCTCCAGGAATAAGTAGTCAAGATTCTTTCTTTCTTCTTTACTATGCAAGTGTAAGTTCCTTCATTAATTGCATTTGCAATGATGCTCATGTGATCTTCATTTAAGGATAAGTAACCTGGATATGAGTATTCCAGAAGCTCCTTATCTTTATACCAGCTGTTGCAAGGAAAATAATAGAAATTAAATTAAACTCCAGAATGCATTCTACCAGTTAATATGTGGGAGTGGTTCTTATAGTACATTTTGCTGAATAAGTGTACAGCAAAGATGGGACAAAACAAGGTCAAGTTACAACAGGGCACTAAACTGAGTAATTCAGGAGCTTGAATCTTACTGAATGTTAATGGGAATTTGGGTCCTCAGGCTAAAGTAACCCATGGACTTCCAGTTTTAGATGCATCCAGAAATAACACACTTGTTCATCAGTTAACAGCTAACAAACTATTAACTGAAAGGGTAAATGTAAGACTTACAAAATACAGGCCAGGGAATTTGAACAGTTTTTAAGAATTACCTTTGTGCTATAGGTAAATTGGATCTTATCCTTTTTCAACCCAGCTCTGCTTTCAGACTCAATGCTTTGCAATGTTGTGATGGTATCTGTAAGCTCCCTTCTCACAGTGAGCCTCTCTACTCTGGTATCAGATGGGACAGTGACATGCTCCAGAAGATAAACTCCATTCTTATTTACATGGTTTTGCTATCCTTTCTCCTCATTTTTGGTATGTAAACTGTAAAGCTTCCTAAAGGACTAGAAGAAATGACAGAGCACTTACTAAACTTTGCCTTTCTTATGAATGATCTTCTGTCCACAGCGGAAGGTGACGTTCCTGCCTTCAGAAACAGTCTTGGTTTTTGTCCTTGGGGGGGGCAGAGTGGGGGGGACTGTTGGAAATGGGAATTCTGTCCACCAGAGATGAGAGAAAGAAATGGTAAAAGTCAGCATAGCTCCTGGCTGAGCTCCTGGCATTCCAGAACACTCACAGTTATGTTATCACCTAAGGAACCATAGAAGTATCAATTTATAAATATATATATATATATATATATATAATTCCTACTGAGCAGTTCTTGGGCAGACATGTAACATATTCATGTGCAAAGGTAACAGTTTTGTGACATGTAAAGTGACAGAGGTAGATAAAAATCGACTTGCCCATTTCACATATATGGAAGAATATATATTCAGTGTATGAACAGTTCTGTAGACTATATGGTTTGTAATTATATGACTGCATCTTTAGCATTAGTCTGGTCTAAAATAATACCTCTGTCCTGGAGAAAGCAGTGCTAGTTAAATGATCCATCTTCTTAAGGTGTGTAGGTATTATCTGAAGCTGAATTGCCCAGATGTGCTCTGAGCTCATGTGGAATTAAGATCCTTTCTACCCCTGCAGCAGCCACCACTTAACTTCCCCCTCCTCCCTCTGTGCAAGCCCCACCAAGAACAGCAGAAGACAAGTGCCATACCATAGCAGAAGTCACAAGTAGATGGACAGTGCTTTTTCATCAACTTCCTGCGCTTCTCACAAAATCCTTTTTGTGCCCACGATGGGCACATAAATAATCTGTCTTTACATCCTGAAACAGGAGGAGACAAGGCATTGGAGGGACTAGGGTAGACTCTTCCTTCTGAGAAACAAACGGACATTTCACCTAAATCAGATTGTTCAAGGTAAATGGTAGAGCTGGGACAGGAAAGGATCTAAACCAGGAGTACAATAATGAATACAATAACTAGCTAGAGCAGGGTGCCATTATGGTATGCATAGCAGTCTCAATATTGAGCAGTAGCATCAGTGGTTGAAGAATATCCTTCTACATCCTACACTAGGTAATGTTTGAAGAGTAGCAGGCAAATATGTCAGAGCTTGAGAGAATCTTGCCACAGCCAGTTTGGTTTACAGATAGTTTTATCATCTTGTATTAATAAATCTAAGTCCAACCAAAAGAGAACACAGAGTGGACTGAAACCTCCTGTCCATCACATTTGGAGTGAGCAGTGCTGGAAACAAACACTACACCTCCTTTTAGCTTTGCATAAAAAGAAGTATGCTTGCTGGCTTAAGGCCTAGTCCTGCCAAATGCTGAGGGTCTAACAATATGACAGCTCCACAGGATGCAGCTGACATCAGATGAAACTTTACACAGCACAGCCCAGAGCAGAACCCTGCTTTGCTTACCATAAAGCCTGTGAATTCCCCAAACTTCATCCTGAGAGATGGTCTTTTTCCCAGTCAACGTGGCATTGATGTGCATGAGGGCATTGGGGTTCAGGGAGTGCATGAGACCCAAGGCATGTCCTATTTCATGTGCTGCTACATGCACCAGATCCGTAAGCCAAACACCTGGAAGAGACATGGAAAACCAGCTGTCAGTGTGTGGTGAAGTACGTTTGCCAGTCCTGCTGTAGAACCAAAGGAAGTATTTTAGACTAGAACCATACAGTCTTATCAAAGGTCACCCAGGTTTCATCATCTCTGTAGCTGTTTGGGTGCAAGCAGACGAGCCAATTACTTCCACATGCTTCTCATTTCAAACAGCAGGACAAAAAGCAGCACTGCCAGACTACAGGAAAACTGCTCCAAATGAGCCATGTCTGATATGAAAGCAAGTGGCCTGTGTAACACTTAACTCTTGTCAGCTTTCTGCTAACTCTGCTGTAACTGGAAGTGGCTGGTAGGGAATGAGATTCTTAGCTGGAATATTCCAGTCTGAAGGAGCCTCCAGTTGACCTCTGCATGCCCCATAGCCTGTAGATCAAACTCGAGGTTTGCAGTAGCAGCTTGAAGCCTCTTTCCAGCAGAGAGGGCTCTTAACTGAAGGATGACTCACAAGAGGTGCTATTGCTGACGTCTGTCTTGGTATCTTGCACAATTATAGGCCATGAGAATCTCACATGATTGGGATGTTAAACTGCTTATGGAAAGATATCATCTGGAAGGGGCAGCTTGCACATGTAAATTATCAGTGCATTAAACAGGAATCCCCAGTGGGTGGATTTTTTAGGGCTCTTAAACACTTCTGCTAAATCTCTCCGACGTGATTTAGAAGAGCAATGATTTTGTTCTGCTTTGTTCCCATTCTCTCCTTCATGCCAATAAAAGAGCCTAATTCAGTTTGGAAAGAGAATCAGGCATTGTAAACAAGTAGCAAGGTCTGCCACTGGCCTTCTGAAGTCAAGGAGCAGTGTTACTGTTTCACAGAGGTGACTGATCAACTGCATGACTGTCTCCATGTAAAATGAATGGAGTTATATTGCCACAGGAAAGAGGATTCTGATTCATTTCATAACCTTGGTAAAACTTGCCCAAGAATCAAGTTTTGCAGCTGCTGGCAGAGCAACACAGCCTAGGGAAATACACTGTCCCCTGATAACTGTAACTTCAAGGCACAGGTTTGTTACCAAACTCCCTGATTTTTATTATCCCTGACAAACACTGATTGCCACTTGATATAATGAGCAGACTTCAGGAGTCTGATGGAGAAGGACATCATTTCAAAGCTGAGTACTTACAATATGCAATCTAATCAGTTCTTTTCTTAACAGACACTGACATTTCCTGCTTTAAGAAATCATCTCCTAGGTCTTTGTCCCTAGATCTTACATGGAAAACAAGGACAGGAGAAGTCCCTCTGTGTCACCTAAAATCTCCTCTCTGTTGAAAAGCAGAATTATCTTCCTTTCAAACAAAGTACTGAGTTGGCTGTACAGTATGAACTTCATTTGCTAGTTAGCCAGGACCATCTGCTTTTCATTTAGAGTTAGTTTTGATACTGCTTTAAAAAATAATCAAGAAGAAAATAACCCACCAAGCTGTGATACAGACTCCAAGATGTCTATAGACCCAGCAGAACTGCAATGCAACAGCCATGCCAGCCAGCTGAAGTAATAGAACACGGGGCTTTCTGAGAGATATGTCAGGATTAAGTCCACTAAACTACTCAGAAATGGCACTGCCACCAGACATGGTTCAATCACAGAGACAACTTCCAAAACTACAGAAAATCACAACTCTTTCTGCTGTGTCTTTCCCAGATCAGGTAAATCCCAGCACAAGAACTCATCTAAATCCTACAGGCATTCATTATGTGCTCCAAGACATGTGTTACCTTTTTTCCAGCTGAAGCGGGTGTTCCCCAATATCCAGTATTCGTGGTCATCAAAGTGGATTTCCCCGTTGGGTGGGAAGAAGGCATGGGCAAGCTCCCCCGTTGTGCCATCAAAGCAGTGGTGAATGAGGGACTCCAGACAGTCCGTGTGGTTGATAGAGTAGAAGCCTGTGGAAGATGAGGATTTAGTGTATTTAGCAGGGTAAGCCCAGCAGGATACAACATCTGTAAACCTGTGGTTTACTAAAAATCCCAAGCTGATATCCTGTATGTTTTCCAACCTACGGAGCCACAAAAGGAAAAATAAATGCAAGCCATTGTCATTGCTGTGATGCAAACTGTACTCAGTCCTGTGAGACCCTAGACGTAGGTTTCCAGTGGTCACAAATGAGGCTGCTTTTCCAAAAGGAACACTGAGCTCTTTTTGCAACATCACTTGGAATTATTTTTCATTTGAAGAGGAGTTGCACAGCAAGATGACAACTCCAGGGTGGAACCATTCCCCGTTTACACGTAGATAAATAGATAGCCATAGAGCCATAGCTGCTTCCCATCTTTTTAATAGCACTGTGATAGCATCACAGTGTACCATGCATCCACTGGGCTTTGGCCACCTGGACTCACATGTGGCAACAGGACAGGCCCCTGGGAAGGCAAATCACACATCTGAGGAGCATCACACAACATGAGAGTGAAGAGTGCATTGCAAAACAACAGTAGATGTGCTGGTTCTGTCAGTGCTGCTGCCATCTGCACAGGAAATCATCATTTCACACAGACCATAAATCCAGCAAGAATTTACATCTGGGCTTGAGACTGAGCAGATAATTTTTCCTAGGCCCGAGAAACTTGGGAGTAACTACTGGATAGCAACACAGGGGCAGAAGGAAGGGTTTAGATTAGGTGTTAGCTAAAAATTCTTCCCTGTGAGGGTGCTGAGGCGCTGGCACAGGGTGCCCAGAGAAGCTGTGGCTGCCCCATCCCTGGCAGTGCTCAAGGCCAGGTTGGACACAGGGGCTTGGAGCAAGCTGCTCCAGTGGAAGGGGTCCCTGCCTGTGGCAGGGGATTGGAACTGGATGAGCTTTAAGGTCCCCCTGAACCCAAATCAGTCTGGGATTCTGTAACAGATTAAAAATGGTGCTTCAACAAGAGCAACAAAAGGGAGACTGAAGCCATAAAGAAGCTGTTCTTTGGCTCTGTGCAACCCTGCATATGTCATTCACCTTTCAATATTCAGCTTCCCCACCTGTGGAATAGAGATAAACCTGTCCCAGTGGCAGATTCTGAGAATGTCTAATGCTTGTCAAACATCTAAAGCTTCCTGACTGCAGAAAAGTGGTAATTCTGATACTAACATTTACTCAGAGCAACTGAAAGTAGCTTCTCTACCTGACTGAGGGCAAATGATGCCCCAAACATTAGCCAAGTGGCCCTGCTGAATCCACACAGCAAAGACAGACCTCTCCTGCCTCCAAACTTCTGGTTTATGTACTGAAACCCTACAATCCTTGGTGGAGTTAACACACACAGTGTCCCCAACCCAGCCTTACCTATTTTCAAGTCACTCTCCACGTGGCGTGGCACCTCTCTGAAGCTGAAGGGTGAAACTTCACTCCACATTCGGAAAGCAGCCGCCAGTCCCCTGCGTGTGTCCCTGGCGTTTATGAGGTTTCTTGGGAAGGACAGGATTCTGTAGGGACATACAACAGCTTCAGGGAAGTGCTCTTCTCAAACATCAAGGCAATCAAGGCTTTATATTCACTTTAATAGGTTCAAAACAGAAGTCTCTTGAACTCAATATTAAGAGGATTTAATAACCCCCCCCCCCAAGGACTAATATATTAGTGATACTCTAATATCACATGCTCTGGACTACGGCTTTTGTCCCTCCTCAAGATCATCATTTTAGATTAGATTCTTCTGGAAAACTATCCTACCATCTCCTGTCTGTTGTGCAGTGCTGCTAGAAGAGGAAACAACTGCATGTCAGCAGCAGGGAACTCCTGTTCATAACACTGAGACTACAATGAGAGCCATGTATGTGCACACACTCAATTGTAACACACTCAGGCAGAATATCAAAGGTCTGCTAGTAAAATAAGTTACTTTCTTTGAGACAAATTGGGAATAATGCTCAAGAGAGGTTTTGCTTAGGCCACAGGTATAGATACAGCTGAACCGTAAGAATACTACTGGTACAGGGTGGCAGAACCCCTGTTTGTACCACGGAAACATACAGATGGCTCCTAGAAACTTACCTTGTCCCCAGTGAAGATCTGCATTCAGGAAACTGCCTGAAGTGTAGCAATTGGGAAAAGCTGTGTATATTCTGCTATCCCCTCTGGTTGTGTTTTAGCTATGCTCTTTATGCTCTCCCTTCGGCCCAGCACATCCTAAAGGGAGCAGAAGGTTTCATATCAAGCCAGGCTGTTAATGAGTGTAAACCTGGACAATTCAGATGGGATGAGTGTAAAGGGAGATATATTCTCTGCTCGCTGTGAAGGAGTTGGGTTCATGCCAACCACTTGTTCGTCTTAGAGGCAAAACTAACCTCTGCTGTCCATAGGAAGGTCAACATGTCCTGATCAGCACTGCAGCATAGAATCATAGAATGATTCTAGCTTCTAACATGGTGACAATGCTTCATGTGATCCACAGCTGAAGTAAGACGTGTAGCACTTGAAATTACTCCTACTTGAGAGTGGCTTTAGCAACAACCCATTCACTAGCAAATGGATTAGCAATACTCATCTGGTTAATATTTACACCCATGGCAGGAAAACTCAAGACCCCGGCATCGCTTAGTGCTACCTCTTAGTGCTAATACAAATCCATACTTATATGTCAAGTTGAAGTGGTCCCATTTCAAGTGTCCTGGGGTGATTGTGTATCGTTTTCTCCGTGCTGGAGGCCGAGGAGGGAAAGCTGCACTGTGCAACGCAGAGGCACTCTCTCCATGAAGCCCAGGTGATGTGGCATCTTCCTTAAAAGACAAAACAGGAGGATTGAGCAGTTCAAAAGAGAAACTACCAGGTATGGGGCATGTGGAGGCTGGGGAGAACAACTGGTACTCCCTTAAGGGTGTCTAAGGGACAAGACTAGTGCAGCAGCTGGTAGTGCTGTGCAAAGTGTGACTGTTCCAAGTGTGCTGAATAAAACCAAGGCAGGAGAGACAGACAGAAAGGAGGCCTCAGTAGGTTTCTGGCCACAGCCAGTGCTGCAGCTCTTCCTGGAAAGTTTTCATTTCCTCTTCACTTTGCTATTGCTCTCCAGCTTCACCACAGGAAAAAATGAAATACTGGATAAATGAGGAAAACAGGCAACTCTTTGTGCACAGAGTTCTTTATAGAGCTACACTGGTGATCTGAAATGCTTTCAAAGTAAATCGGAAACCTGGAAACCCTGGAGTGCATTTAAAGCCACCGTACAGTAAAAGACATCAAATTTCATGACACGTCCAACTCAAGCTATAAAAGCCTTTTTGCCTTGGGTAACAGAGGTTAAAGAATGGGACCCAACATTGTTCTCTGGAAGCCTACCTGCTCTGCCTCCCCTCTTCAGGTCTAAGACACTGTGTATCTCTGAGTCATCTTTGCTCCAGAGGCACCAAGACACCTACTGATACATACAGTGCCAACATTACAAAAGCTGCACCAGTATGAGTTTGTTCAGCCTCACAGCACATTCTACAGAAAGCAAGAGCTGTCTTTGTGTTACTCATGGAAGAGCTGAGGCTCTGAGAGTCAAAATAGCATCTCTCTGGCCTCACAGCAAGCCAATGGCAAGAAAAGACAAGGAGCCCATAGCAGCAGCTGCCAGGTACTGCTCAAATCACTAGCACCTCTCTGTGACTACAGCTAGTCATCACTGGCAACAGCCTGAGGGACTCCAACAGGCCACCAGGCTCCTTTGCTCCCATCTCTGAGCTGCACTAGTTTCTACCTTGTTCTCATCTCAGTATGTTTCTTTTCTAGGACAGTCTTAGTTTTTCTTCCAGCTCAAGCTGTGATTCTGACTCACAACGCGAAGTCAGCAGAGCCCTGGAACATGAGGAATGCAAACACCATAGAGCATCACCTATGAAACAGAGAGATGTTACTTAATGCCTTGACTTGTAAGCTGCAAGCTTTTGGCAGAGTATTAGATCACATTTGTGGGAGCCTTCAGATGCCAATTTGCTCTTGAAAGAACACACAGGATCACTTTTCCCTTTTACCACTTTGCTGTATTAAGGGATCTGGCTGAGGAACACATACTTGTAGGTCTGCTTAGCTCAAGGCCTGGCCCCTTCTTCACCAAGGCACACATATATGAAGATAAACTGCCTGATTCCTCTTTCCCTCCATTCCAGTGGCTTTTTACCTCTGATTCTACTCTATGAATATCATTTTGCCTTGATATGAAAGGAAAATTGTGGAGCACAGGCAAGGTGGTGAAGGATCAGCTAGTCTGTGTCTCAATGATCTGCTGGAGCCGAAAGAGAAGCCATTGACCTTAAAACTCTGAGGCCATAAGTGCTGAACAAGTGAGGGAGAGAAAGTCATGTGTCCCTCAAATACAGACCAAAGTAAGGGTGACCCAGGGCCAAGAGCAATCACTGCAACCTGTATCTGACCCGGTCACTAGATCAAGACGGTTGAGTTCCCTTGCTCAAACATTCTGTTGTTCTCTAGCCTTTGTTCTACCTCCCACTGGTGCAAAAGGATGCTTTTAATTAAGGAAGTCTTGCAAACTGAATTGGGAAGGGGAGCAGAACCACACATGCTGCAGCTCAGATGTAGGATTCAGACAGAAATGGGATGACCTGGTTAAAAATTTCACAGTGTAGTTTGGATCAAAAGGGTCTGCCTGGATGCCAAAGAACCAAGATTATGGAAATACTGGAGAAGAGGTCAGCTGCTCCCAGTTGGAAACTCATGTGATTGTGGGTTAAGGTCTCAAACATTCACAAAGCTTAGAAGGTACTAAAGGATGTTTCGATTCTCCATCTCAACCACTGCAATAAACACCAACACATATAAAGGCAGACACTGTCCAACATCCCTGCTCTACACTATTCACCTTGTGCAGTCAGACCTCCAATAATTTACTTCATGGAGTTGTGATGAATGCAATTCATTCCCCTCTCCTCCCCCAGTCATGCAGTTCCACTCAAACTAAGCAGTAATGTAACTGACTTAGCACCAGTTAATAAAAGTCCTGAGCACACAGTACAAACCAGGGGTGCTATTGCCAGGATCTTCATCGACACCAACAGCAGGAGAGGATGTGAGCACCTAAAGACTGGGCTTAGTTTTTTTTTTAAATCAAAGGTAAAATTAAGCTAAAAGCAGAAGTTAAGAACAGTTTCTGAGAGTCCCAGAGCTTTAGTACAGCTCCTCCTGAATCCCAGTCAGTCTGTCCTGCAATCTCTTGCTGAAGATGGACCTTGAAAGAGAGTTAGTATCAGTTAATGGTCTCTGTAGGCTCAGCGCTAACTCCCAGTTTAGATCTTAGAGCATGAGTCCTGCCTCTGGAGTTCCTAGGAACTGCTGCTGCAGATATCGGAATACATGCATGCCACATCACACCAAGCTGGGGAAGCAGAGGTACTCAGAAGAATAGCCAGAGCTCTGAGGAAAAATATCCCAAATCTTTTGTGCATTCACTGTGTGGCTGCCTGCAAGCTGCACACACACCTCTAATGACCTGGCTCTGTTTAGATGCATAATTACCTTTTAGGATCCTTTGCAAAAAAGGGACTCAAACAGCCACAAACAGATCCTGTTGCCTTTAGAGCTATTTATATACTGTTTAGATTGCTTCCTGAATGTATCCATCTTCTAAAAGAATACACATGCACATATGTTTGATATCCCCACTCCCTTTTCAAGCATTTGAGAATCAGATCCTTTCTCCTACCTGACTTTCCTGAAGCGCAGCTCCAGCTGGATCTCCCACAATAGCCAGCAAAGCCACCACAGGGAATATGCATAAAAATCCCACCATGGTTTTACAGCCATTACTCTTTTTCTTGTCAACCAAGAGGAAGCTCTTCCTTCTGTTTGCAGAAAGCTCTTCTACTTGATCCATGTCTTTCCTCAATGCTTCTTAGAGGGAGATGTGACAGATACTAAGACATTCTCTTCACAGAATGCACTGGTAATCCTTTTGCATTTGAAGCATTTGTGAGCAGTCCTGCAGTGACTGTCAAAGCTGTGCAGAAGCACTGGAGTTTCAATAAGCTTTAAAAAAACTAAGAAATAAGAGAGTAGACTTTACATTAAGGTTCTTTCCAATGTGCCAAAGATTCTCTCAGCCTCTGCCAAGTGGAATCATGTTACTGCAGCTGAAAGTTGGGCTGGCGGAGGAGAAGCAGCAAAGTGAAACAAGCTGGGATGGATATGAACTCTTTTCTTTAACTGACTGTAATCAACAGAGGACAAATGTGCAGTTGCCAGCTTTATGTAATGAAAAGAATTGGGGGAGGGGGTAGAAAAAGGAATCCAGAAGCCAGCATCACGCCCCTGGAATGTTGCATTAGGGATGCTTAACACTAGAAGAGCTGTCATTAGTCAAGGGCTGTCTTCTGGAGGGAAATGAAAAATGAGATGCTGTGAGGGAGCAGGGAGGGCTTCTCTGCTTGGGACATTCTGCTCAGGGAGTTTACAAACTCAGATAAAAGTAAACATGAGGTTTACAGGCTGAGAGAGTTGTACTTGTTCAGCCTGGAGGAAAGGCAGCTCCAGGGAGACCTTATTAACAGTCTCCCAACACCTAAAGGGGCTGACAAGAAATCTGGACAGGGACTTGCTACAAGGGCATGTAATGACAAAGGGGAATGGCTTTAAACTGAATGAGAGATTCCCTCAGTTCAGGACTTCTTACAAAGCTTACTCAGAACTTGTCAGGTTTTCAGAAATAGCATCATTTTTCTGTCTGGATGCTTGGTGCTCCTGAGGGGGGGTGTTCTCAGCTGAGCATTCAGGCAGAGGAAAAGGAACTGTGCAATCTCCTGGTTTCACAAGCAAGTGGCAGGGAAGAAGTAGCTCTGTTGCCAGCCACTGTAAAACATTCCTAGGGAGTATCTGAAGCATTTGGGAGGTTTCAGAAAATTCCTGCACTGTTAACAATGAAAAATGGGTTGATTTATTTCCCCTAAAACATAACCAAGTTTGCAACATTTTGTTGAGAAACTGGTAACACCAACAAACCTAAACTTACCAATGTCTCAAGTCCCCTGAACAAGTTTGTCAGTCTCTGATGAATGCAGCTACTAAAGGTGAGCACACCAAGCTCTTTCCCATGAGTTACTGAAGTATTCTGAATGGGGAAAAGGACAATATTGTACATCAACTATTTACCTTCTTGTGCCACATGTGGTGGGTGAATGAGAATCTTTACCTGTAGAAATGATTCATAGCCTCTGTGACACATTTAGGATGCTGCTTTCCAATCAAGATATCAAGCAAAGGAAGCAGGTTAGACCTTGATGGATCAGAGTGCTGGGTTTCTTGGAAAGCACAGTTTGCTTCCCCCCATAAACTGGGAATGCACTGTGCCCATCCACACAGAAATTCAGCGCCTCTGCATCCAACTTCACCAAACCCCTGGCTGCAGAATGCCTCTAGAACTTTAAAAACTGAAGCCAAGTATTTGCTCAGAAACCAGCTCAGCAGTAAGGCCAAGATAAACCTCAGTTATCGTGGCAATGAGAGTCAGATGAGGAAAGCTCTTATGCTGAGGTATTCAGAACTTACAGATGCAACTTGGGGAGCTAAGGGAGACACATGAACTCGATGCTGTGCACAGTAACAATGCTTCTGATAAAGTCTCTGTGCATGTGGATTCCTTGGTGTACAAGCTCTGGCCAGAATCCTCAGTGACATGCTGCTGATAAAAAGCAGAATTTCAGGATTACACCTAGCTCATTAATACTGTGGTTGTTAAGTTTCAAGCCCAGCTCTTTTCCATAGATATTTTAAGGATTACTAGGACCAGAGCGCACATCTATTGACACTTCACCCCTTTTCTCTGCCCTGGGTTAAGAATCTCATGGCTTTCCCAAGAGATACTTGAGCTTAAAGGACTCTCAGATACAGCCACCAGTGGCCTCAAATCTAGAGCACTTATCAGCATTTAAGCCTCTCTCAGATGCTTCAGACATCTCCCAGGAGGACACTGCTGCCCTGTGCCAAGGGCAGGTAGTTAGTCAGAACTCTAAATTCATTTCATCTCTGTCTTTTCCAAGAGCTGACAATACCCTCCATGAGGGCCTGAAGGCACTGCTTTTACACAAGGGCAGAGAACTGCTGCTGCTGTGACAGAACTGAGTTCTGATGGCTTTTAGAGGTCTCAGGTTCTCAAGTACGGATATTTGGTTTGGACTCCAGGCGAGAACTGTCATCCTGACTATATTTGGACAGAAAAACATTCCTGGCTTGGGTTTCTGCACAGTGTCTAAAAGCAATGGAACACATTACACTTTGAGGGAATCCATATGGTGTAATGGGGAACAGGAAAGGAAGGCAGGGTGCAGAACTGACTTTGCTTTGTCTTCATGCTGTTAGCAGCAGTGACCAGGACCTGGATATCATCTGTAGGGAGATGGGATTTTCTAAGTAGTCAGGGGGGCATATCCTGAAATCCCTCTGCATGCAATAAACATCACATGAAAAAACAGACTTTAACCAGCTGTCAGAAGGGAATGAATGCTACATAATGCTGCATAAAACCTACAATGGTCAACTAGAGACTATGGGGAACATAAAGCATTGGATCATTTGCACAACACAATATGCTTTCCTTGTTAAATCACCTGAGTCTTGTTTTGCTCCTTTCAATCTTAGTTGCTGAAATGTTTAAAGGGGGGCTGCTGTATAACACACAACATGTGGCTCCATTCCCAAGGGTAAGCTTTAGCTCAAAAATAAATACTTTCCCCCTTCCATGATGTATTCTTAGCATTTCTCCCCTTCCCTATATTCAGCATTACTAACAGTAAATGTTATTTTCAGCACTGTTTCTAAACATCTCTGCTGTGTTTGCCAGATTTAAGAGCAGAGTTAGCCCTGGTGCAGCAGGTCAGGAAGCACACGGGCACTGCACTGCTCAAGTTCCCCAAACACCACAAGAACAATCTATTACAATATATATACTCATGCTAAGAGGTGCTACACAGAGAACAACCATTAGTGCTACAACTGCAGCTGTCTGACTGTCTAAAATCAATCTTGCCTCTTACGAAACCTCTTTATTCACAGATTGTGTATTGTTCAGCATTGGAACAAACTGCTCCCATTAGCTTCCCCTGTTGTGAAGTGGGCATTCTCCATGGAGGTGGGCAGACAGGGAAAGAAGAAAGACCTAATATCTCATGGCTCAAGGCACGAACATCAGCATTTCATCTCTAGGGCACCAGTCCAAATACAGGCCACAGGCAGGGGAGGGAGAGTGCAAGCAGCTGAATGTGATTTACCACATATTGGCTCCTTGGTGGCCCATGTGAAAAGAATTAGCAAATCCTCATATAGCTCTTTATTTTAAAAAGCACTTACATATTTATCCTCTATCTCACAACTTGGGGGAAAAAAAAGGCCCACAACAACCCAACATTCCTGCATGGTTCCTGTGGGAACAGCGGTTAAAGCTTGTACTTTCCTCAGTGGGTCATGGACTAAAAAGGATTGTATCTGCTGTAGCAGGGAGCAGCACTCCCTAGGGAGAGGCACAAGAAGAACGTTCTTTAGCCCCCAAGCATTCTCCCACTTTCTATCATGCAGCCCCTCGTGATCAGCATCTGCTGGTGTTCCTAGAAAAATCTATGGTCTGCTGAATAGCAAAGGAGCTGCAAACAAGGGCTAGCTCCAGCTGGCAAAGAAAACGGAATATTTTGCTTAACTGTCAGTTTGGAGCTGCAGCTCACACAAATGCCTGTACTAGCCTGACCCTGTGTTACCAAAGAGACATGGGCTTGACCCTGCCCTGAAGTCTGTCATGGCCACGTAGCGAGTAGAATTTCAGGAATTAAATGAGGGAGAATTTTTTTCTCAGCTCTCCTCAGGAGGAAGAATTGCTTCCCTGGGTGGGAATATCTTTGTTGTTGCTTTTTGGTGGGCTCCCTTCATGATCTGTAATTCATTCGTGGATGCACCAATCCTCCTGAAACCCTGGGAGCAGCAGGGACTAGTGGGAACATAATCAAAGGAGAGATGGGTTCTTTTCCTGACTCTGCCTTTCAACAAGCCATCTCCCTCCCTCTACTCCCTCAGCCTCATGCTGACTGTAAAACACAGAGTTTTGGCCACACTTCCAAAGGAAGTGCTTTAGAAACCCTGGTTCTGAGCATGAGATGAGCTGCTGCCTCATAGTTAAAGTTTTAACCAGAAAGACTCAGCAAGAGCTTCCCCTTCCAAAACCACTGCTGCATATTGCTGCAAGGAACAGAGCTGCATTTCAGATGGGAGAAGTCCCAGTGAAAACCAGGAGCTCCCCAGCTCACCTGCAGAAGACCTGTCATTTGTGAGAGAACAACTGTTAAGAAACATCAGGCAGAAAGTTACTGGCTATCCACAGACCAGATTAGACATGAACCAAGCAAATTAGCAAGTAGGCAAAGCTAATCACTCACTGTGGTACTCCACTGGCCACAAGTCACCCCCTGATCCTGGCTCTCCACATAAACAGGCTTATCAGGAAAGATAAAACAGCAGATCCTTCTTTATTTTCCCAAAGCCATGGAGGTGAGCCTGTCATGGGCTTGTCAAAAACATACCTGGCACATATGGGCATCTGCTTGCCTTCTGTTATCTCTTGTTCCTGTAGCTCCACTGACCATCTTGCTTCGCTGTTGTGGTGCAGCAATTCCCTTCTTCTTACTAGGAAAATGAATGGGTTAAAATAGGGCTTAACAGCTCAATTCTTGCTCCTCAAAAGCAACCCTAGCAGGCAAAGGGAAATGAAAGAACACATTCCCAACCCACATTCTATGTTTACAAACCATTTCTGTAGGTCTTCAGCTGGTATGTTACACTGTGCAAAATCCCATCTTGATTTTGGCCATACCGTGAATTTCAGAGATGAAAGTAAGATCAGGAGATACTAAAATGGAACTTGCCTTTTAAAAAGAATTACAACATTAAACTGAGGTGAACTCTTGGTTCCCTACGAGAATATCTTCATTAGCCAGAGGGAGGAAAAAAACAGTCTCCCTTTTCTGCAACAGCTGCACAGCTTGGAAGTCAAAAGTTGGTCTTCCTACAACTTCTTTCCTTTAGGGAGAACAATCACTTGGAAGCTTCCCTTCATTTAGTAGCCAAAGAAATCATTAAAACCAAATGAAGCAGATGCTCCCTGATGGTTTTTCCTGAATAAACTGACACCTTAGGCAGATCTAAAGAGATGAGAATAACATAACAGGTACTGAACAGTTTGTCACCCATGTCCCTTCTTCCCCAAGTGCCAGCACACATACACGTTTAACACACATGATGAAGCACTGATCAGTTTTACCTTCAGTAAACTGCTTCTGGATTTGATGTAGAGCCTTGGGAGAGAACTGTATTTCAAAAGGAATGCTTAGCATTAATACGTTAGATGGGGTGATCTATAATCTGGAAAACAACTGACTAGCAACAAATAGTGGTTAAAGCAGCTCTTACGATATTTGTCTATTGCTGCCCTACAACAAACGTTTTGGGCAAATGTCTGCTTTATTCCAGAGGAATTTACACTACCAAGAACTTCTAGGATATAAGTATCTGCCCCTCTGATAATGGATTAGATGCCTCAGCCTTGCACCTTTTGAAAACAGCCTTTGCACAGTAAATACTTGGTTAGATTGTATTTAACACCCATGGAACCTAAAGCTGATTTCAGAATTAGCTTTGGTAACAATCAGAGATGCAGATAAAGACTTAAATCTGATCTATTTTCATAGCTCAAAAGGCCACTGAAATTAAACAGCCTCAGGTGAGTATGTTGACAAAGATTATCTATAGGAGTCAAGGGCTGTGGCACAAAACCACACCAAGGGACTATGAAGTTGCAAAAACCACTCCTGTAACTCCCATATATTCCACAAAGTTAAACATTTCTTTAAAAGATTTGCCACCTCTTTGCTAATGAACAAAGACAGGAGAGAAATCCAATGGTTTGTTTTAAACAATGCTTGCAATATGTAACAGACAGTATGCTTGTGTATAACTGTGTCATTAAAGATGTTCACCACACACAAACACCTATGTACGTACACACACAGCACGCTAGCCCTACAGGTTGCCTCTTCCAGCAACACATTACAGGATGGACTCAGTGGATAATATTCCTTCAGCCACACAGTTGGAAAACACAATACAGCTGGATCCATATCTCAGCTACTGTTTGTACATTCATTTTAATGCTCAGGAAAATATAGATTTTATTTTATTAAGTTTTACTGCAAAACCAAGAAACAAAAATGAAATCCCTTTTTCTCATGTCTTAATTATTACTATTTATTTTCTTTACACTTTGATTGGAGTATTTAACACCTGCCTTTGGCATTATGGATAGAAAGCTCAGGAGTCTCTGAACACATGGTTGTGCCAAAAGAAAAACTAAAAATGGAAGAAGAGTGTCACTTAGAGGTTAGAAATATCTGTTGTAACATTTTCTCCAATCAGTGTTCACTACTTTATCTCTAAGGCACACACTCTGTCTTTAGGACCTCATTACATCCAAGATCTTGCAGAGCCCATATGTACTAGTGCAGAGAGCATGCTGTCCTAGGACATTACCCCCCTACCACTGACAGGCATCTGGCAGAACTGATGCCGTGACTATCTCTGGCATCTCACGTGAAGTACAAGGGTATGCTTTGCCATTGCCTGCCAAGGTATAAGGTACATCCTTCTACAGCATCTCCCTTTGGAGCAGTGCAAGGCTGACACTGCAGGGCACTCAACACGATGCAGTCACTGGAGCTGGATGCCACTGAAAAGATCTGCGTATGGAAGTCTATTTGCATCCAGTCTGGAAGTCTCTTACATCTTCAGTGAACAGGCCAGTGTCCTTTACTTCAGGTCTCTGTGATGGATCAGCAGCAGGGGGTGAGGGGGCTGCCTGCCCTCAGGCACCGCTCCTTGACTTTTTGACATTACATGTAGAGGGGACTCCTACCTCCACCCAAGTACCATCACTTCTTGGCTTCCCTCTCTTTCAGGATGGCTTTCCAGGTAGCCAAACACATCAGCCTGACTAGCAATTCTCATCTAAAACGCAAACAAAAAGGAAGGAAAAGAGGGAGGTGGGGATGAGAAGGGAAGCAAGCGTATCCTTAGACAAAGATCTGAATCCTTTCCCGGATAGCCTGCCTGCAGATGGGGCAGACAGTAAGGGCTGTGCTGCAGTCTGGGCAAGAGCCATGTCCACACTGGAAGACCAGTTTGATTTGGTCATCGATGCAAATGGGGCAGGTGATGCGCTCTTCCATCTGCCGGTAGCGGCTCTGCAGCTCCTCCATGAGCTTCTTCTGATCTGTGGATTCAGAGCTGGGGCTGCACTCCACCTCAGTGCTGTCTGCAGGGGTGGAGAGCAGGAAGAGAGTTAGTCCCTGTGTGCTCTGCCTCATGCAGTGTCTCTTTAGACTGCCCTTCAAAAGCAGCAACGAGTTCAGGCTAAACTCTCTTCACTGAGCCTTATTCAAAGATTCCTCAAGTAATAAGCCTGAGATGATGCTTTCTTGAGTGTTGCTTTTGTCCATTTAGATGCTCAGCTGGTTTGTGTGTGTGTGTGCTTTACTTTGAGTTTGTGTTTCTTAAAGAAGCTGTCTGAAGCGTCCTGCCTTCCAGAATATCCTGTGCTACCTGCAAGTCAAAACACTCAAAGCTGGTTGAAGTGCTGTACCATACTAGTCCAGGAATCCTGACAGTGCTGTGAGTACTACGTGTTCTCAACCTCCTCTTCACAGTTAGGATTCAAATTTCTGGTTGAGTCTTTCAGGACGTACATGGTAAAACAAGAAGAAACTATTTTACATCACTTACACTGACTTTGTGTATTCTCATTTTGAATTCCCACCATTACCTTGTTGCCAGTCTGTAGCCAAGACAAATGCTTCTGCCTACTGTCAGGTAAACGTCCTGTTTTTTGCATTATGGAGTTCTAAAGAGGATTTCTGGTTTTGTCAGCTGTGTATGTCCAATACTATGAGAAAGACCCTTGCTTCCCCTATGCTTCTGTACAGGTATCAGGTCACAAGACTGTTGCCTGACTCCAACAAAGGAGTCCACAATACTAAGCCATGAGCAGCAGGACATCTAATTCATTTCCACATGCACTTAATCCAAGAGTGACCTCAGCTAGAAAGAGATCAGCTCTCATAGCTGCTATAGAAAAAGCTTCAGTGGGCAACACACATTAATTCTAAGGCAAGTACAAACCTGCTTCTGCCTCCTGACATTGCTCATTCTGGACACTGACTGATGTGGATAAAAAACAATCTGTTTAAAACCAGGCTAAAGAGCTTTATGAAAACAGTCCAGTCTAATGATTCCTGGCTAGCTGGTTAATGCCAGCCCTGCACAGGCACTGCAATTCCAGCCAAGGGAGAAGCAAGATGTAGTTTTTCCTTTCTCATAAATTTTCACTGTTTAATTACCAGCTGTGAAAATGGTTACACTGACACATGGAGAGCCTCATATTTGCTTTCAGTACACAAAATAAGCCAGGCACAGGACAAGCTTCCTCAAATGCCCTGTCTATGCAGCTTGAGCTTGGTCCATGACACCCGAATCTACCTTTTCCTCTCTAAAGGTGGTCAATGCAACAGACAAAAATAAAACCTCAAACCAAAACCAACCAAACTCCTTCCTTACGCTTATCTCACTGGGAACATTGATGCTGCTCAAACTAACACTGTACAGGACCCTTCCCACAGCACCTGATAGTAGGAATGGCAAACATACCTTGTTTCAGTTTTTTGGTTATTGTCACTTGACATTTGATGCACTTCTTCATTCTCCTGGAGCATTCTACCATGAACGATACAAGAAGAGATTACAATTAAGCCCACTGAGCCAGACTCAAAGAGGAAGACAACAAACTCAAGAACATCACCTTTGAACAGCCTGAGACCTTCCTGGATGATGAAGAGATTGTTTCTGCATAGAAGTGAGGACACTACCTTCTTTTTGATCTATGTCCTAGTCTCTTGGTTTAGTCTTTCCTACACTAGTAGCAAATACAACACTTATGTCCTCAATGATCTGTGCTACTGCAACTGTGGATCAAAACAGCCCTTTGCTCCGAGGGAAGAAGATGCAGCTCTGGCACAGAGTCCTTACCAAATTCTCTGTGATCAGACTGTGAGTGCCGTGCAAGATAAACTTGCTGACATGTTTGAGCAGGCTGCCATTAAAACAATTGAAATGCAAACGAGTAACAAAAGCCAGAGAAGATGGAAATCCTTCTCAGGAGGCTTTTGATGGATAAAGCACTGCCAGCTAGAACTGAAACATCTGGCTTGCCATCTGAATTATCCAGGGCATCTGTAAGCACAAGTAAAGCTGCCTGAGGTAGTCAGACCATCTTGCTTTTCATAGATAGCTTTGGACATCTTAAATAAGATGGTGGCACTGAAATCATGCTGAGGTTGTTTCAGGACACAAACAGCACGGTAGCTTTGTGTCTAAACAGAGCTTGATTTATGAGAGTCCAGCTAGAGAAGCGAATGATGGACTTACCTTCACACACAATACTGTGCTGGCATGGGAAGAAGTGGATGAGCAAGGCCAGCTCTGAGCAGACCAGGCACTCTGTGGGGACCGCCACACTCGAGACACTAAGGTTGGTCATTGTGTTGGGGGTGGTGTGCACACGGCGAAGGCTGCAGGTGATGGCAGAGCTCTCTGAAGAAACCTGCTGTTCCCTGCAATCATGAACACAGAATAAGATCTGAGCCACACACTCCAGGTTGTCCTTCAGCAATCACATAACACTGTACTGATCCCTGGAAAACAGTACATGGAGAGCAGGAGATGCTCAGGTAGCAAAGACTCGTGAACCTTCACTGCTTTGGTGGGACCAACTCAGCCTCTAGTAGCTGGGATTCTGACTGGATCTATCTAAAAAGAAAGGAAAGAGCAGGGATGACTGATACTTAGACAAGCTGAAACTGCTCTTTTGGAGGGGTAGTTTTGGGTCATTTGATACAAAGTCAGTAAGTTTTGGGGGGAGGGAAATCTACCGTGCAGCTTCCTACCAAAGCGGAAGTAGCAATTCCAGCAGTAATGTGACTGCGGGTCTGTGCCCTCAGATCAAACAGAACTCTGCCTTCATGTTTGCAAAGTCAAAATCCAAACAAGTGTTTCTCAGAACCAGAGATAAAGCCAGCTCTGACTTGTTGCTCTCCCTTGGGCATTTTCTCAACAATCTCTTTATCAGTTGAAAAACAAGCATTTATCCAGCTCTGAAATGAACTCTGTGGGTTTCGGTGCCACTCTTTTGTCGCACTTCCTCTCTGTTTAGACTTTAAATATCTGTAACTGCAGAATCCAGCAAAAGTAAAACAGAACCCAGAATTACTCTGCAAGAGAGAAGCTGCTCTTGGCTTCAGTGGCCCGTCTTCTCAGGGCTCTCTGTAAGTTTAGAGGCCAAGTCTGCACCGAGCAGTATTAATCTGCTTTTCCCAACTCTTTCAAATGGCACTATGCAGCCTTAAATAACCCCTGGTCAGTAACCAGCTCCAGATGACACAGGAGGTGCCCAGACTGACATCCAAAGTGATTCCAAGGTGCTTCATCCCTCCTGGAACAACAGCTGCAGGAGTGACACCCGCGTGCTGTGGGAGTACTCTGTATTTGCAAGGAACTACCTGTAGCCAGTTTCCAGAGGACACGGTTTACCTGAATTTCTGTGAGAAGTCCTTGACAATCTGGACAATCCTTCCATCTGTGATGAGGTCTAATGGAGCCTTTCCCCTGTGGTTTGCATAATTGATATCTGCTCCTTCTTGTGCTAAGTAACACGCAATTGCAGTTCCAACATTCAGTTCCACATTTCCAAGGAAGCCAGAAGCCTGCAGCTAAAAGATGTGGAGAAACATTCTCTGTTAATGGAAGTTTCTGTTATGGGCTTTGATGTGTAGCAAATTCTAAACAACGTCTTAATCCTGGTACTTACAATTTGAAAGTGCACGTTAGTGTTCTTTAACGCACAGAAAGATCCTTCAACATGTAAATAGCAGATTAAAATCTTGCCTTCAGGACCAAAAGTGCCT